GGGGGGGGGGGGACTTTTGCGTCCGTGGGTATGTGTTTTCTTCTGTATGTGTGCGTTTGTGCATGTGTGTGTTCGAGCCGCGCGCGCGCGCGTGTCGCACGTGTGTATGTATGTGTACCTGCTGTCATGCCACGTGCACTCCGTAAGAAACCTGCGTGTCCAAAGTTCCTGGCGTGCCTCGCAAAAAAGCGCGATACTTGTTGCTCGTTACGTTTTGCTCGATGTTATGATAGTTTGTCCTCTCGACAATTGCGTCACGAGAAGCCGGCTGAGTAGGAAGAGAGGGGAGCGTTTTCTTTTTAGTCTGCACCTGTCCGAGATGTCACGGGTTTTTGTGTCGGATAATAATGGCTGAGAAACACGGTGGAGTGTACAGATAGCGTAATACAACGTTTGATGCTCGCACGGCGATGTTATTGCTGTTGTCGTTTCTGCGAATGTCTGTGCCATTCGTACTGGTCTCACGGATGACATGCGAACGTGACGCGCGATCCAGTTTCACTCGATTTCACTCCCTGCGACGAATTGTTCGACGATTCTATTTAGAGATCCGAGCGCGCGCGCGCGCACACACGTCCCTCTGCGCTCCTTATGAGGAAAATGTGTGCACACAAAAAAGGAGAAAGGTAGGGAGAAAGAGAGCCTCACGTAGCGCGAAAAACAGGTTTTATCGCGCTTATTCAGCTTATTAGTTTCGAGAAGGTGTCATTAAAGGCGTGCTGCAGAGTTCTTTTTAAACTCACTGGCAATATTACACGCATCCTTCCACAATTTTTCGATTCTGGCGCGTTGCACTTGACGTGCGAATCTCTCTCGCGAATTTTTTATGAAACTTCTGATCGATTCTCCTGCCGGAGATCCTATCGGTCTTCTAGCTGATCACTTTACCGGCCGTACCACGTATGTGACAAGGGACTTTCGCCGAGTGTTATTCGCCCCGTTTATTTTGAACTCGCGATTCTGTTATTCTTAGGCAGCGTTCTATCTTTACTTCTGGCACACGTCTTGCCGTAAGTGTTACGTTATAATCCCGACTCACGGGTACAGCGTAGACACACGTGATATCGAGAACAAACACATTATGTCACAGCAGAAGCACAGAAGTGCATTCTATTTTTCGCTTATTAACCGATCCATTATGTAGCCAATGGTAAAAATCGCGGTGCGCGATATTTCAACTAGACGATATAATCTCGCGCGTTTTCACGGTTGGGCAAAAATATTTTCCCAGGCGTATATGACAAGAGTTATTGTTTTAAAATTCTGCTTTCACAGCTTAATGAATACGACGTAAAATAATGCTACCGTATAGAATACGTGGATGTGTGTGTGTATGTATGTATATGTTTGTGATAAAAACTAAAGTTGGATACGACGCGTGAATAAAGCGAATCCCCTTCCCTTTCTCTCCTCTCTCTTTTTCTCGTTCTGTATTACCTAAAACTACAGAGTGAGCTAATTAACTGTTAATTAATGAGCCTACGATGACTTAAATCTTCAAAATTACATGTCGACTCTGCACGCGGAGAGAATTTTATAATCAAAATTACTATAGAACTTTGTAACTGGCTAACTATAAATCGACATTCTGTCGTAATTGATCATCCTTTTATCTCATATGCGCTACTTATATATTCCAGAAAATAAAATGCGCTATTAAAAATTTGCTATATTTTCAGCGAGATTTACCATGTCCCTTAGCAAGATGGATCTTACTGCCTATTTTTGCATTACATATTGTAACTATAAATATACTAAAATTGAAAAGAATTTATATAAAAGAAAACTAATATTCTCTCCGTGTATGAATCAACGCGAGATATACGTGGAAAATAAAAGCGGAATATTCTTCTTTTTTTCATTTTCAACGCGATATTCGATAACACAAAGTTAATGTGCGTGTGAAACGTATGAAACGATAAATTATCCAGATTGCCTGAAATCGATTTCACGAAATTTCTATCATGAATAATTGAGCAGCGCGCAACATCAGGACGGAAACCACCGAAGGTTTTCAGCCGAACCCACATCAATCGCGGGCATAATTCTCATTCGGCTCTCGTCCGCTTTAGCATTAGCACTTGCTATAACGAAGGTCTTCCACGAAGTGATTTTGCGTGTTACGTTCGTTTCAATGTCAATAGCAGGATCGGCCATCGACGGCACAGCGGCTGAAAAGATCGCGCGACTAATTAGCGATTACCGTGTAATCGGCGGTGAACACGCGGAAAACCGATCCGGCAATCGCCCATGGCGCGACACGCCTCTTGTTTGATGCAGATAACGATTATCTTCGAGAGATAATCCGCACAACAAGCCAGACGAGGAGTTACGAAACGCGAGTTATGTACGCGCGTTTATATTTTAGAAATGATAATAATTGAATGAGAATATGTCAAGACTTTCAGTATTTTGAACAGAAAGAAAAGAGGACGTTCGGGATGAGAGATTGGCATTTAGATATATTTTATCGATCGAGGTGTTCGATGTTCTTTCGACTTGAAGCGTGAGAAAGCGGCGCGTGGAATTATGAAATAATATACTGCGCTGTAATTTTCTACACGGAACTCACATTGTACTCTCCGGCAATATGCAAGGTCGGCAATTATTCGCCACGACCGTTATCGTTCGCGCGGATCGCAGCTTCTACCGCAAGTAACGATTTCACGCGAGCTGCAACTCGTCCAGGAATTCATTGCACCTACGGCCAATTGAGTCTAATTGATCGTACGTGGATTTAATTCGACCGAGATGATGATGATATAGTCAGCGGCGTAGGGCAATGGCGCATATTAACGCATCATATCGTTTCTCGGCGTCTTTGTGCTCTCGGAGTAAGGAGAATGGTAGTAACATCAGAGAGTCTTTGTTGCTTAATAAGATGGAACGAGCCGTTGGCAGATAATACGGTGGTATTGGATGAGGGCCGAAGTAATTTATGGATGATCGCGCGGCGTCTGGCGATCCGTGGAGGTTTGGCGTTCGAGCAATGCCGAAACTTTCCGGAGTTGACTTCCACGTAAACGTAGAACTGTGTCTCAACAAACATATTGTTGATAAACTTGATAAAACAGTATGACTGGCTCATATATAAATTTGGTTATGTGCCAATTGAATTCAGTATTGAATCTGGTTAAAACATACAGGGTGTTCACAAAATACTTAACTTTTCGGGTAAACGTATTCCTTTCGTCAAAATAAAGAAAAAAGTATAAACCCACAACCAGATATATGAATGTTTGCGAAATTACGATAACACAAAGTTTATATTAACGTTACTATCAAATAATCATTTACTATCAAGTAAACATTTACTATTGATTAAACATTTAAATTATAACAGTCGAGAGACAAGCGGTATGCTCAGAACATGTTTATGTATGATGGAGCACCACTACATTTTAGTTGTTAAGTGAGAAATTCAATAATAACACTGTACATTTTTTAATCTTTTATATGTTAAATAATATGCTAAAGATAATTTTAATAAGTTTTATTTTTCATTGGTTACGAATCTGAAATCGAAAATAATCAAAATTCTAGTATATCAGATTTATGAAAAAAATCGGGTTAAACAGTTGTTTTTAAATTTAATTTATCTAGGGTTTTATCTAGAGATATATAAAATTAAAAAACTCGTTTTTGGCCATTTTTTAAATTGTTTACAAAAAATGAGACGTCATAGAAATTCGGAGAATAGCTTAAATGAAAGCTTGAACCTTAAGCTACAATCTTAAAATGAAGATAAATAAATAATATGAAATAATTTTTCTATAACGCAGATATTTTGAGGAACGCGCACCTACAGCGTATACTTTGCCTGCTGCACTGTCCCTGTGTGCAGATTAATTGTTTGGAGAACGCCAAATTCTTATGATAATTGATTAATTAATTTATTGATGTTAGATAATTACTAGGTAATCCAATTAAACCAATTATAATAAATTATAATTAAATAATATATAATAAATTACTTTATAATTATCTAATATCAATAAATTAGCTAATTTATCAACCTCAAAAAACCTGCGTTTACAGAAAAATTATTTCATATTACTTATTTATCTTTATTTTAAGGTTCTAGCCTAAGATTAGCTTAAGCTTTCGTTTAAGCTTTTCTCTATGTCGTTGAATATTTTTGTAAACAACTTAAAAAATAATAAAAAATGAGTTTTTTGTCTGTTTAATCCGGTTTTTTCATACACTGAGAGAAAAATTATCTTAAAATCAACAAATATTTCCTTGGGTGCCATTAACATATTTACTTAAATCTACATTCTCTTTACTTAAATCAAATATTGTTTATTTAAATCAAATAAACAATATTTGATTTAAGTAAAGAGAATGTAGATTTAAGTAAATAAGTTAATGGCACTCACCAAGGAAATATTTGTTGATTTTAAGATAATTTTTCTCTCAGTGTAAATCTGATGTACTGGAATATTTTTTATTTCAGATTCGTATATGTATAATCAATGAAAGAGGAGACCTATCAGAATTATTTTTTATATGTCATTTAACAAAATCCTTGTTGTATAGTGTAATTATCAGATGGATTAGCAAAGTAGGACCACGTAGTCACGTGGCCTCCATTTTCCCCAGATTTAAATCCGCTAGATTTTTATCTATAAGAACATTTTTAAAGCATTTAATATATTTTCAACCTACTGATAATGAAATGATGTGTTAGCTTCGCTAACACATTAGGCTAACGCATTAGAATCGTCCGCAAACTGTTGAAATGGTTCGAGATAATCCTTACTTCGCCGTGTCAATGCCTATTCTCAATCAAATGGCGGTCATTTTGAGCACTTATTATAATTTGTTATAATTTAAATGTTTATTTGTAGTTATTTAACAGTAACACATCAACGTAAACTTTGTTTTACGATTTATTTCGTACTTACATTTAATTATATAAACTTCCTTCTTTATTCTGACGAAAGAAATATGTCCTAGAAGTTTATCCAAATATTTCGTAAATACCTTGTATATAGAGAGTGTCTCCGCAATTTTTGTGGGAACGTAGAACGGATTAAGGTGAACATAAAAGTCCGTATAAAATGTATGATCCTTATAAGCGGGTCGTAAATTATATTAACGATATTATATTAATATATTAGATATTAATTTATATTTAATTAACGGAGATCGCTTCTTATTATAATGTTAGAACGCGGCATTAATATTTCACGAGCAAAGAAGATCGATCTCCGTAAAATTGAAACAAATTCACTTCGCTACGGTTCTTGGCAGACACTCTGTTTCTCGCAGGCTGTCCGGTGTTTATCTTCGGCTTTTACAATCCCCCATCCGGCGATTCGCGGCGTAAGACCGAACGGGTTTATTGCGGATTTTAATAACTCTTCTCCGCGGCCGATTCAGTCACGCGCCAGTAAGAGAACAGATTTGAAAAATGTAACGGCGCATCGTTTACGAGCCGCTTATAACGGTCATACATTTTTAATATCCACTGAAATCCGGCCTCTCTGTCTCTTTCTTCTACGTGGTCCCGGAACTCACGAGGCACATACACTTATTTACGCAAGGATTGCTTTAATGTTTACGGCTCGTGAGGATCGCGGAATCGCGGAATCGCCTGCAGATCTTCCTCTCGCTTTAATGGACCGCACGCGGGGACCCAAGCGGCGAAAAAGGAGAATCAAGATGAGCGGAAGTTACGCGCTTCTCTAATAGAAGGGCGAGATTAATGATCATGATGGAGGCATGAGTTTTACGTATTAAAATGTTGCGAAATATAAAGAAATGATCGAAGACGTTAAACATCTAACTTAATTAGGTTATAAATCATAATATAAGAAAAAAAGAATTTAATTAGTTTAACCAAATAACTTATGAAATATGAATGAACTAAAATTTCGGTTGAAGCTACTAGGATTCTGTTCAATTTAATAAGATTCTATTTAACCAAACAAAATTTCTGGTTAACTAGAATTAGTAACTGTTCAAGTTGAACTAGAAATTAATTGTTTGACTAAGAGGATAAACGAAGTGATTTCTCGGATGACGAATTCGAAAAATATCGATAACGCAGACACAATCGTCACAAACACCATTATGTTATCTTTCTGAAATTTCTTATATATATTGATCTTATATAAATGTGTGTTGCTTTGTCATGGTAGCAGAAAATATAACCACATATGTGTATATACACACACACAAACATACACACATACACATGTGTGTGTATGTGTAAACTTTTTGTATACTTTTGAGCTTCTACATTTAGATGTAAAGATACAAAAATGTTCCTTGAAATTCTCGTTAACGGAGGAGACATGTGCGATACGTATTGCGGAATTTTTGTATCAAGTACATATTTACGCCAAATGACAGCTTAAGATGTCAATTTTAAAATTTTCATCGTTGCCATCACGTGGGCAATGCTTCAATTTGTTGTTGCACATATTTTGTATGAAAGCATTTGTAATTCTATGTAACCAATATGACATAAACTACAAAAAAAGTCAATATTTCATCTGTAAAGTTTTCAAGAATGGCATCCTCGTAACCAAAAGCTTGTTAACTTGAATCGAACCTGATAACTTTAAACAAGATTCTGATTCATTCAGGTTTCACCAGATATTCGGTTAATCCAATTAAATTGTTTTTTCCGGGTAATTTTTGCATTTCAATACTTTTGTGAAAATCCATATTAGTTTGTTTACATGTCGAACAATCTCGGGGAGATTCGGTCGTCATTTTTCATAAAAGCGGTTAAGTTTCTTCAGTGTCGACTAAAAGGGACGAGCAAGACGAGGATTTATGTAGTAATTTGTGTATATGACTTGAATAACTGCCTACATAATATAACGCGGCTGGCTGGAGAGTGGTGGTAAGCAGGCGACGCTCTCCGCGATGGAGCTTTAATTAAAATTACGTACGTTTGCCTCTCGTAACGCGCGCACACGTTACTCTCTCTCGTCTCCTCCTCGTTCCTATTTAATATTTTTATGAGCTTTTCATTATGGTCGCGCGCGTGTATCTGAGCGTGTTTGCGCTCCCCGGAGAGGAGAGGAGAAGGAAGAAGAGGATGCACGGCGTCTTTGAAAGAGCATCCGCGACTGCCACTTAAATTGGTCCTTTTTCTTCCCTCCTCCCCGTTCTGTCGGTGAATCCTCATTTGCGGAATTCGTATGAGGGAATTTCTATCGCACTCGCGGGATGTCAATTGTCGCGAACAACGAATCGTCCTTGAAGGGGCCCGCGAGTAGGGGCCTCTAACAAGCGTCTCTTTTACGTGGGATGCGTGGCGTTGTGATAAATGAACGAAGGACCGAGGGAAAGGAACGAGAAAAGAAGGAAATCGGGAAATTACTCGCACTTGCGCGACGCGAAGGAATGCAACGTCTGAGTGCTTGAAGGGGAAATTACGACAAGAGCCATGGGGTTGTACGTTGAATATCTTTTCACTTCGCGAGAGAGAGAGAGAGAGAGAGAGAGAGAGAGAGAGAAGTTGCAAATATTTTTCTTTTCAGCAATCACTCAAGGATACACCAAAAAATACGTGCGAACAAATGTGTAGAATTTAATTTTTGCTCCTCGACATGTAGAAGTCTTTCCGTCCGTTTATTAAGAGACACGAAATGTAGTCACACGCTGTAGTCGCAAGTGTACTCGATGTTACCCAGTCGCTAATTCAAAATCGCAATGGCTGCCGTTAAGAGCGTCGACGTAATTGCTTAACGATCGCGGTGTCACGAGGCAGTCTTGATTGCCTTCCGGGGCTAATTCCCGTCAGGGCATCGAACAATGACGAATCTGCAATGAATATTCAACGCATCTGTAAATCCGCCGGTTTGCTGCATATGCATTATGAGGAATCGCCAGGTAGTCGATATGTCTGCGCTTGAGAGCTGTCGAAATTACAGAATGGAGAGAGAGAGAAAGGGAGAGAGAGAGAGAGAGAGAGAGAGAGAGAGAGAG